TCTGGCTTTTTTCTTATGTGGTGCTGAGGAATCAAACCCAGGGCCTCAGGCATGCAAGGCAAGCGCTCTACCACTGAGCCACCTTCCCAGCCCCTCTCGGGAGTCTTGAGTTTGAGCTTAACAGTTCCATCCACTTAACAGGCAAGATAAGGGGGTTCATAGTAACAAACACTGTACGTGCTCCAAAATGTGTCAGATTAGTTATACAGTTATTAAGAATACAATTATTTTTGTAAGAGGCATGAAATGCCTCCCCATTCTTAACAACCACACCCCGCCCCTCGGCGCCATGACTCCACCCCTTTACGCCTAACACTCAAGACCCACCCCTTCCACCAGGTCACTCTGGCTTGGCCTTGGCTCCGCCCCTTCCCCGCCCACTCGCCCTGTCCCGCCCAGTGAGGTGGGTCCCTCGCCCCGCCCCTGCTGACCACGCCCACCTGTCCACTTCCTCTCCGTCGTTTGCCCCACCCACGCCCGCCTTTCTCCCTGGCTGCGCGCGCAGCTGCCCTCAGACCAGGAAGTTCAGTCCGCGGAGAGGAGCTGACTGTCCAGACCACGAGTTTCCTTAAGTGCAGAGTAAGTGTGTTCCGGGTGTGCGTGGCCCCGCGTGGCCCTCCTGCCCGGCGGTCTGGGTCGGCGGCCGGTCCTCCCTGACCTCCGCCGGCTCTGGCACGGCCGCGGCGGCGGGCGCGACCCCGCTCCGACTCCGACCAGACGCTGGCTCCGGGCCCGATCCCCCCTTCCGGGACCCCGTAACGAGCTGAGGGTCTCCGGGCGCAGACCCCCGGAGCACCCCGAGGCTCGGGTCCGAGGTCCCCGGCAGGAGAACTTCCTCCGGGGCCCGCGGTGCGCGGCCGGGGCCCTCGGTGCCGGTCCCGAAGCGGCCCCGCGTCGCGGCCGGCGGGGCTCGCGGACCCCACGCGGGCGGGCGCTGTGACCGGGGCTCCCGGGCTCCGCGGCAGTGAGGGCGGCGCCGAGTGCGGAGCTGGAAACCTGGGTCGGTGGAGCCCTGGGGTCTTGTAGGGGCTTTTGGGAGGTCGCGCAGCGGGGACCGGCCAGGGCCCCCGACCCTACCCACCTCACCTCACCCCTACATCCTCATCCACCCACCCACCTCACCCCTACCCACCTCAGCTCACCCTCTACCTTGCTCTGTGCTGCATTGCTACTCCTCCTCATTCTATCCCTTGCTGATGGAGGGGAACCTGGGGCCTGCCTCCTTACACTTGACCTGTAAGTGGGGCTGTGCAAAGGTGAGGGCAAAGGATCATCAGGAGAAAGACTGAGGAAAACAGGAAGTGAAGAGAGCCACAGCAGAGGGCAAAGTAGTAATGAGGTGCAGGCTTTGCAAAGATTCAATTGTAGTGCCCAAGTCGCAGGACCCCCACCAAGAAGACCAAGGGAGAGTCAGAGATTCGAAATGCAAAAGCAAGGTTTTATTTAGACGGGCTGTAGCTCGGGCCTCAGTCACAGAGGAGCCTAGGAGGAGAGCCCGAGCTAAAGATTTGCAGGGCTTATAAACAAACAACCAGGTTTTTGGATTACCACCATGTGTTGCTCTGCTAGCTGAGATAAACAAGCAGCAAATGGTCACTGCCTCAAAAATGGTGTTACTTTAGCCCTTCAATCCCCCCTTGACTTTCTGTCCAGAGACACAATCTTGTGGCTCCTGCCCAAAACTGAACTCCAACAGCTCTTGATCTTGACTAGTCCCTCTCTGACCTTAGCCATGTTGTCTTTTGCTATTCCTGAATGGTCAATGTAAAAACAACACTTTTCTCCTAGGGCAGCACAAAGTTCCCCTTGTTGTACTGAGTGGCTCCCAAGAGTTCTGCAAATGAATTGCAATAATACGAATAACAATCAGTCCATTTTTCTTTTCTTGAGGCATATGAGGAGTGGTTGGGTAGGATGCTTGGAGACTTCCCATGTTTCCCCACGGTCGTCCAGGGCATAGGGGTCAGCCGGTCTGGCATGGGAGCAGTGGATCCAAGCAGCAATGATGTCCACCTTAAGGGCAGTAGGTGTAGCCAGTAACACCATGTAAGGGCCCTTCCACCGTGGTTCCAGAGATCTCAAGTTGTGCCTTCGAACAAACACCCAATCCCCTGGTTTAAACAAATGGGGAGGTAGGAATAAAAGCAGAATCATAATGCTCTAAGCTGGGGCCACATACTCTTATGCACCAGCTGTAAATAGTCAAGCTTACACAGAAATTCAGTATCCAAGTCAGCAAACAATTCAGTCTGGAGGCTAGGGATAATGGGGGTGGGGGGTGTTGTCTATACATTATTTCAAAAGGAGTAAAGCCAAGCTGATAGGATGAATTTCTTACTCTACTCTAAACAGGGCAAAAGTAACAAGCGATACCCAGTCTGCCCCAGTCTCCAAAGCCAATTTAGTTAAGATCTCTTCTAGAGTCCGATTCATTCTTTCTACTTGCCCTGAACTCTGGGGTCTATAAGCACAGTGCAATTTCTAATCCGTCCCCAGTGCTGCAGCTATTCCCTGACTTACTTTTGAGACGAAGGCCAGTCCATTGTCTGACCCGATGGTGGATGGGAAGCATACCTGGGTAGGATTTCTTCCAGGATCTTCTTAGCCATGACGTTTGTGGTCTCATGCTTTGTTTGGTAGGCTTCAACACATCCTGAAAAGGTGTCTACAAAAACTAGCAAATAGGGCTGGGAAGGTGGCTCAGTGGTAGAGCGCTTGCCTTGCATGCATGAGGCCCTGGGTTCAATTCCTCAGCACCACATAAGCAAACAGAAAAAAGCCGGAAGTGGCGCTGTGGCTCAAGTGGTAGAGCGCTAGCCTTGAGCTGAAGAGCTGAGGGACAGCACCCAGGCCCAGAGTTGAGGCACCACGACTGGATGCAAAAAAAAAAAAAAACAACTAGCAAATATTTATGTCCAAATTTTCCAGTTTTAATTTCTGTGAAGTCTACTTCCCAATACACACCTGGCCTATCTCCACGAATGCGAGCTCCTTTTGTAACCAGTTGATTGAGGGCATTGATGAGCTGACAGGCTTTACAATTTTTAACAATGTCCTCAATGAGCTGATTTCCTTGCCTAATTTTTACTTCTGAGTGTCAGAGCAAGTCCTGCATTCTTCAGGTTCCCATGTGAGAGGCCCGATGGATTCTCTTTTTGTTTTTTTGTTTTGTTTTTGGGGCCTGAACTCAGCCTGGGCGCTGTCCCTCAGCTCTTCCGCTCAAGGCTAGGGCTCTACCACTTGAGCCACAGCGCCACTTCTGGCTTTTTTCTTTTTGCTTATGTGGTACTGAGGAATCGAACCCAGGGCCTTGAGCATGCAAGGCAAGCGCTCTACTACTGAGCCACCTTCCCAGCCCCGCCCCCCCATGGATTCTCTTAAGAATCCCCTTGCCCAATCTTTGTGGCAAGATACGTTTCCCCTCACCAGTTTTCCACCAGTCTTTATTTTCTTCTGGCGGTTTATAGGCCATGGGAATTTTCTTTATCCACTCCAAGTACTGAGGCTCAGGAGGCAAAGCTCGTGGCCCTGGGTCTACCAGTACTTCTGCTCTGGGATAGAGGGCCGCTTCTAGCTGCCTGATCGGCCAAGTTATTTCCTTTGGTTATAGAATCAGTTCCCTTTTGATGGCCAGGACAGTGCATAATGGCAATATTTGCTGGTTCCCATAAGGCCCGGATGAAGCTTAAAATTTCTTGTTTGTTTTTGATAGCCATTCCTTCAGCTGTCAGCAGCCCCCTCTCTTGGTAAATGGCTCCAAGGACATGCACAGTGGCCAAAGCATACGGACTGTCTGTGTAAATGTTTAGTCTCTTCCCTTTTCCCATCTGTAGGGCTTTTGTTAGTGCCACTAGTTCTGCTCTTTGTGCAGACTTTCCCTGGGGGAAGGCTTCTGCCCATACTATCTCAGTGTCTCTGGTGACTGCTGCACCCGTGTACCTTTTTCCATCTCAAATGAAACTGCTGACATCTGTGAACCAGGTATGCTCAGCATGCGATAGTGGCGATTCCAACAAGTCTGGCGTGAGACTATATACTTGGGCCAGGATCTGCTCACTGTCGTGCAGGGGTGCTTCCAGATCTGGATCCGGCAGCAGAGTAACGGTTTAATGCTATAGGTACACAAAAGCTGATCTGCGCGGGGTTAAATAACAAGGTCTGGTAATGGACCATGCGGGCATTGCTTATCAACTGGTCGGGCGGTTGTTTTAGCACCCCCTCTAGAGAGCGTGTGGAGCCTTGGCCTGGTCTCTCTTTTCACATTCGATTTCACGTTCTCTGTCCTTCCTTTCCTGTCTTTGCTCCTCTGTCTCTCTTATTGTAAACTTTCTCCGCCGCGGCTACTAGATCCCTAATAGACTTCACCAAATTTGTCTAGAGCCTGCAACTTTCGCTTTATGTCTGGTGCAGCTTGATTTATATAGGCAAACATAATCATCTGAGCCGACTCCTGGGTCTCAAGATCATACGGAGTATATTGACTATAAGCTTCCATGAACCGCTCAAGATATGCTGCGGGACTTTCACTTCCTCCCTGTCTAACATCATAAACTTTGGCCATATTAGTAGGTCGGTGAGCCACTGCCTTGAGACCTGCCAACAGAGCCTGGCGATAGACAAGGAGTCACTGCCTACCTTCAGCCTTGTTGTAGTCCCATGTTGGTTGGGTCTCGGGAAAATAGACAACAATCTGGGCAGGATCCGTGAAGGGCACTCCTGGGACCAGGGACATGTTTCCGGGCTGCCTCTTGGATACAGTCTCCTCAGTGGTAAAAAGGACCTGCAAAAGTTGACTACAATCATCCCAAGTGGGCTGATGAGTAAAGAGAATAGTTTCAAGCAAACGAATTAAATCCTGGGGTTTCTCAGAAAAGGGGGCATTTTGGGTGCGCCAGTTTTATAGATCACTGGTAGAAAATGGCCAATAGTGGAATTGCTGTCAACCATCAGCATCCACAGGACCTACAGCGTGGAAGGGGAAAACAGCGGCATTAGAAGAGGGGGGTTGATCCCACGGCGTTGTGGAGTGACTGGCTCCTCAGAAACTTTAGGGGCAGGTGCCAAGGGTTCAGCTGCTGGTTCTGTATCTCCCTCCTCCTTGATAAGGAACCTGGGAAGGGGAGTAGGGGGGAGGAAACATTTCTTCCAAGTTATCTCCCTGAAAAATGGGGGGGAGTACAATTTCTTTTCCTCTTTCTTAGTTTCTTTTTGTAAGTCTAGGGGGCTAGATGAAGTGTTGCCCATGGTTTCCAGTCCTGTCAGTTGTACAACCAAAAAACAATAAACAGTACAAAAAAAAACCCCGCAGGCCTGACAGTTAAAAAAATAGCTTACAAAGTGGAGATCTCCCGAATTGGTCCACTGACTTCTGTAACGGGGAAGCAGAAGGAGCCAACCCATAGTGGGCGAGTTGGGCCTCCGTTAGGAGGCCCTCTTGGCTAGTTCCGGCCCAACACCGAACCGATTCACACCCCACAATTCTCATGGCGGGGTTCCAAGGACCCCCCCCACAAGAGGATCTGGGACGTTCCCCAGTTCCTCCATGGTTGTCATGCAAGCATGTCTGCTTTGACAACCCTTTACACAATATGAATCGGAGCGGCAGTCCTCACAAAGGAAAACGAAAGTAAAACAGACAGACAAAGGACAGGACAAGACAAATTAACAGAGACAATTGACAGCGCTTTTTTCTTACTTTTGGAGTCTGCGGTCTCAGGGGCCTCTTGGGGTATCCCAGACGAGCCCCCACTAATATGTAGTGCCCACGTTGCAGGACCTCCACCAAGAAGACCACCAAGAGTCAGATGTTCCGAAATGCAAAAGTAAGGTTTTATTTAGACAGGCTCGGGCCTCATCCTACACTCTGACACAGCAGAGCCTAGGAAGAGAGCCCTGAACTAAAGATTTGCAGGGCTTATAAAGGCAAATAAACAGGTGTTACTCTGCTAGCTGAGATAAACAAGCAACAAATGGTCACTGCCTCAAAAATGGATTTACTTTAACCCTTCACAATGACATGAGCAGAGAGGAAAGCAAATAGACAAATGCAGAATGTTCATCTCCAGAATGGACATAAGTGGCGTGGTGCAGGAAACACGGCAGCACTTCTGAATGGGAGGAGAGGAGAACAGTTTGAAATTGTGCAGAGCCATTGGTCCTTGGGGAAAAGGGGTGGGTCTCTGGTTACAAGGAAAGTAGAGGGAGCAGGGTCCATGGTTGTAACCCTAACTACTCAGGAGGCTGAGATGTGAGGATGGAGGGGTTTGATGTCAGCCAAAACAGGAAAGAGTGTTTCTTTGTTTTTTGATCCTGTCGTGGGGCCTGAACTCTGGGCCTGGGCGCTGTCCCTCAGCTCTTCAGCTCAAGGCTAGCACTCTACCACTTGAGCCACAGTGCCTCTTCCGGCTTTTTTTTTCTGCTTATGTAGTGCTGAGGAATCGAACCCAGGGCCTCATGCATGCAAGGCAAGCGCTCTACCACTGAGCCAACTTCCCAGCCCGGTTTTGTTTTTGTTTTGTTTTTTGGTCACAGACTGGGATTCAAACTGTGTACTTGGTGATTTTTCATTCAGTGACTTTGGCTCTTCAACCCTTCCTGAGACTCTTCTAATTAACCAACAGAAAGCAAGAGTGGAGCTTATGCCTCAAGTGGTAGAGCACTAGCCTTGAGGAAACAAGCTCAGACACAGGGCCCAGGTCCTGAGTTTCATTCCCAGGACTGGCATTCCCCACAACCCCATGAGTGGGCAGCAAAGGAACATCTTCCCCATGATGAGGTCCTCCCTGGGGTGGGGCTGGGACACAGGGAGTGGGTGTTGGGTGTGAGCATTAAACAGGATATTTTCAGCACTCAGGACTGTCTTCTGGAAAGTGATATCTCCTAAGGAGGAAGCCCAGGGAGGAGGAAGAGGAAAGACAAGGAGCAGGGATGGCGGTTGTGACTCAGGTAAAGCCGTGTGGCGTCTCCTTCCTGTGCACAGAGCTGGCCTGGGCGCTGCCTGCCACATGTGCTCAGGTCTCCCACGCCTTCCCTCATCCCTCTCCCCTCCATTGGGCATGGGCACAGGAGGGCATCACCCACCAAGTGTTGCTATGTCCTTGCTGAAACCTCTCTGCTGTTCTTTTCAGCTTTGGGTTCTCTCTTTTTATTTCTTCCCCAGTCTTGGGTCTTGAATTCAGGACCTGGGTGCTGTCCTAAGCTCTTTTGCCCAAAGCTAATGCTCTATCACTTGAGTCCAATTCCCACTTCTGTCTTTTTTGGTAGTTCAGTTAATTGGAGATCAGAGTCTCTTAGACTTTCCTGCTCTACTTGGCTTTGAACTGTGATCCTCAGATCTCAGCCTCCTGAGTGACTATGATTCTAGGTGTGAGCGAGCCACTGGTGCCTGGCTGGGTTTTTTCTTTTTTTTCTCGGTGTGGGGCTTGAATTCAGGCCTGGGCGCTGTCCGTGCGCTCTTTAGCTCAAGCTGAGCACACAGTGCTACTTCGGGTTTTCTAGTGGTTTTGGAGATCAGAGTCTCCCAGACTTCTCTGCCTAGGCTGGCTTTGAACCATGATCCTCAGATCTCAGCCTCCTGAGTGACTAGGATTTTAGGTGTGAGCCACTGGTGCCTGGCTGGGTTCTTTTTAACCCAGTGGGTCATATTTCTTCACTTTCTCAGAAGAATGTTTGGATGTGCAATTCCATGTAGGTTTTCCCATTCCATGCCCTATCAAAGACAGCATTATAAACTGTAACATCCTGAAGCTTCCTTCTGTCCCTGGTGTGTTGATTGCTGTGTCATGGCAGGCATCTGATTATAATTCCATATAATTCTTTGAGTCTATGGGAGTGTGTGTGTGTAAAATGCTTTTGGATTTTCTCCTTGGGGACAGTTGACATTTGAGGATGTGGCGGTGGATTTCACCCCAGGGGAGTGGCAGTGCCTGACCCCGGCTCAGCGCGCTCTGTACAGGGACGTCATGCTGGACACCTACAGGAACCTGGTCTTTGTGGGTGAGCACCCCTCCCTTCCTTGCACAAGTCGGGAGTTTTACTCTTGGCCTTGGTTTCCCCTGAATGCCTGGACAGTCCCCAGTCTCCATGACTAGAAGTAAAGCTCTGTGGACTCAGAGATGGGAATGTGCTAACATCACCTCCAGACTTTCACACCCATCCTTTGTCCTGCTCCTGTGATGCATCTCTGTGTCCCACAGCTTAAGTGAGCTCATGTGCATGTCAGCTACGGCAGGCTTCTCTCTCTTCTACTTTGTTTCTTTTTTTCATTCCCCTTCTCTTCCTTTTTCTGCTCCTCTCCTTTTCCTTTCCTTTCCCTCTATGGGACTTTGTACATCTAGACAAGACCTCTGTACAGATCCTAGGCAGGTCCTGAGCTACAGCTCAGGCACTATGGCAAACCTTCCCTTCCTCCCTTCTTTCCTCCTCCCCTCCCCTCCCCTCCCCTCCCCTCATCCCCCTCCACCCACCCACCTTCCTTCCTTCCCCTCCACCTCCTCTTTTTTTTTTTTTAAGAAAAGGTCCCACTTTGTAGTCCTGGGTGGCCTTCAACTTTCCCCTGAACTTCTGAGTGCTGGGATTACACACAGTGACACCACACTCAGCCCACAGAAGACTTTGAATAGATGGATTTCCTTGTCCTTCTGACTGAGTAGTTCTAGAATTACTGTCTACACATTAAAGTGTGCTCTGAAGTGTTCAGATGGAGGCAGTCTGCTGAATGTGTGAACTGTCCTTTGCATCCATGTGTGATGTCCTTTTTCCTGTGATCATGGGACTGGGGACTCCGGAAAGGCCACAGCGCATTGTCTTTCTATAAACAGGAGTCTCCCCTCCCAACATGAGTGTGCTTTCGCTGTTGGAGCTCAGGAAAGAGTCCTGGATGGCACAGAGCCACATGACAACTCCTAGAGAGCTAAGTGGTTGGGAACGAGCCAAACGTGTGTGCGCAGGTAAGAGCTCAGATGTGCAGCAGAAATGGAGCTGGGGACCCTGGGCACAAGTGGAAGTTTTGTGTAGGAGAACCAAAGTGTCACTGCTGTGAGCCTTAAAGGACTTTAGAATGTCCCCACTTGTGCCCTGTCCTGCAGAGTAATATGCCATTCTGTGTCTCCACTGCATTTAAATTTTTTTTATTAGTTCATGATATTTATTACTGGAGTTGTTTACAGAAAAATCTTTTCATTGTTAATTTATTCATAAGAATAGTTGTTCATCCATGTGACCTCCTTTTATTTTAAAAATCAAAAAAGTGTATGAGAAGATTATTAGTATCAACTTTTTAAAAAGTCAGGAGGACTAGCGAGTGACGTTTGTTTTATCTTTCAGTAACTCCGACCAAACAAAGTGTAGAATTTGGCAGGGTTCTTGCCACAGACACATGTCTCCACTGCATTTAATGTGTGCTTTGAAGCGGTCCCAGGCTAGCTCTCCAGCTAATGGTGGGTGTGCAGTACCCCGACATCTCCTATATTTTCTGACTTCATTTCCTTCAGATGCACACCTAGAGCTATGGCTGGACAGTCCACTTCATATATTCTGTGCTTTTTCTCCAACAAAAGTTGGTGGGGTTTTTTTGTTTGTTTGTTTGTTTGTTTGTTTTGTCCATCCTGGGGCTTCAACTCTGGGCCTGGGTGCTGTCCCTGAGCTCTTCGGCCAAAGGTGAGCACTCTACTGCTTGAGCCATAGCGCCACTTCCAGTTTTCTAGTGGTTTATTGTAGATAAGAGTCTCACAGACTTTTCTGTCCCGGCTGGCTTTAAACTGTGATCCTCAGATCTCAGCCTCCTGAGTAGCTAGGATTACAGGCATGAGCCACCATCACCCAGGTTCCCTGAGCTTCTTTTGCACAAGGCTATCACTCTACTAGTTGAGCCACAGTGCCACCTCTGGCTTTTTCACATGTTACTGAGCAATCAAACCCAGGACTTTATGAATGCTAGGCAAGCACACTACCACTAAGCCATATTCCCAGCTCTTGTTTTCTTTTTTTTGGGGGGGGCGGTCGTGGGGCCTGAACTCTGGGCCTGAGCACTTGTCCCTCAGCTCTTCAGCTCAAGGCTAGTGCTCTACCACTTAAGTCACAGCGCCACTTCCGGCTTTTTTCTTTTTGCTTATATGGTGCTGAGGAATCGAACCCAGGGCCTCAGGCATGCAAAGCAAGCACTCTACCACTGAGCCAACTTCCCAGCCCTTGTTTTCTTTTTAAAGGGAAAGGACTTGTTTATTTTATCCTGGGTTACTGTTTCTCTTTTTGGTAACTTGCCTAGTATCAAAATGTAATCAGCCTGTATTATGTAACGTAAGTGCTAGATATCTCCTGTTCATATTACAATCTGCTGTGAGTGCCTGTAGGCAATTTAGAGCACATATTCCAGGTGTTAATTTTCTTTTGTTTCTTTTCTTTCATTGTACTGAATTCAAAGCCTTTTTCCCACTTCTGCTTTGCAGTTGGGTAATGCCTATTAATTCAGGCTGTAATGTGCTGTGGGCTGTGAATCATTACAATATATCGTGTGATAGGGGGCGTTTCTTTGTGCATAGTTAGTGTGGTATAGATAGCATTTTTTTTCTCTTTGATTATGATAAGTACCATATGGTTTTTGGTAGTGAGGTTTTCCATGGGTCCCAAGGAAGAATATCCTGTGTTCCTCTCCGCTCAACTTGATCAGGATACATGTTTTCCTTGTTTGAGATAAAGCTTACTTTCTCTTTCTTTGTTTTCTTTTTTTGGGGGGGAGGGGGTGGAAGGTGTCGGTCATGGGGCTTGAACTCTGGGCCTGGATTGTGTCCTTGAGCTCATTCACTCAAGGTTAGTACTCTGCCAGTTTGAAGCATAACTGCACTTCTGGCTTTCTGGTGATTTATTGAGCTAAGGGTCTCACAGACTTTCTTGCCCAGGCTGGTTTTGAACTGCGATCCTCAGATGTCAGGTACCTGAGTAGCTAGGATTACAGGCATGAGCCACCAGTGCCCAGTTTATCTTATCTTAATTTGGATTCCATATGATTGACTTTACAATGAAAGAATCCTCTTCCTTATGTGTTCCTAAATGTTGGATTTTATGTGTCTCAGAGTTCATATGGCTCCTTAGTGTATGTCTGATATTTGCTGTGGTATTATCTCTCTCAGTGTGAAATGCTTAACTGTGTGATTAATCAGATGGGAACTTTGTATCTTTGCAGATACCTCTCCTAGATATGTAATTAAAGAATTACCACCCAGCGCGGGCAGCAGTAGGGGAGAAGTATCCCAAAGTCATGACTACGGAGGCACTGACGAGTTTTCCTGGGAAGAAGTCCAGAAAGCTCCACGTGAGTGGGAGTGGGAGTGGAGCGGTGCTGAAGGGGTGGACTTACAGAATGTCTTCTGCTAAAGGGGTGCTTGTGGTCGACAGAGAAGAGGCAGTGGCGGAGGAGAGCAGGAGGGTGGGGGTCATGCGGGGAAGCAGCCCATGAGCCTGTGCCTGGACAGTCCCTCCAGGAGCACCTGCGCGGGCTCCCGCCGTACCTGTGTGAAAGGCTTGGGGTGAGGACCAAGGTGGAGAAGTCTGCCCTGGCAGAGGTCCCCATGTCTCGCCCTTGGGATAGCCCCTCCAGTGGGAACACACACATCATCCCCACAGGTGATAATGCCTCCATTTGTTCTTTCTTGCCCTCTCAAACACCTAAAGCACGCACTCGGAGAAAGCATCACAAATGTGGGGAGTGTGGCAAGGTGTTCAGATACCCCTCGGTCCTGGAGCGGCACCGGCTGAGCCACACTAGGGAGAAGCTGCACCACTGCACCATGTGCTGGAAGTCTTTCTCCACACGTTCTCGTCTCTTGGTTCACAAGCGAAGCCATAGTGATGTGAAGCCCTATTCTTGTTTGGAGTGTGGGAAGACGTTCTGCAGGGCCAACAGGCTCACTGTGCACCGCATGATGCACACTGGGGAGAAGCCATATGTGTGTGAAAAGTGTGGCAAGGCCTTCCGAGTGCCTGCTACTCTCGCAGCACACCAGGCTATGCACACTGGACACAAGCCCCATAGGTGCGCCACGTGTGGCAAGGCGTTCAGCTACAGCTCCAGCCTTCTCCGGCATAGCAGGATGCACACTGGAGACAGGCCATTCCGGAGTGTGTGTGGCAAGGCCTTCATGCGTGGATCCCGTGAAGCACACAAGGCTGTTCACATTGGATGCAAGCCACATAAGTGTGAGGATTGTGGGAAGGTGTTTGACTACCCTGGTGCCCTACTCCTGCACCGAAGGACACATACTGGGGAGAAGCCACACCACTGTACCCAGTGCGGGAAGGCATTTGCACAGAAAAATGACCTGGCGCGCCACCAGAGGACACACACCGGGGAGAGACCATTCGTGTGCAGTGAGTGCGGGAAAGCCTTTAAATCCCAGACAGAACGCCACAGCCACCTTGCCATCCACACAGGACATAAGCCCCACCAGTGTACAGAGTGCGGGAAGGCATTTTTCCGGAAGACGAATCTGGTGCGCCACCAACAGATCCACATCAGTGAGGGCCCGTACGAGTGTGACATATGTGGCATGGTGTGCAGGAGGCGCTCTAACTTCACATGCCATCGCAGGCTTCACACCCAAAAGAAGCCCCGCCAGAGGGCAGCAAGGCGTGAGCCATCCATGCATGGACGTTAAAGACTTATTTTCCACAGATCATTTGACCGAGGTGATGCAGAATGGCAGTCCCTGCACACAATGACCCTAGCTGTCATGTAGCAAAGAGTACTGACCGGTCTTCTAAGAAGACATATCCATATGCTTTTGAGATGAAACAAGTATATCAAAAGTAGAGAATTTGGGGCTGGGAATGTGGCCTAGTGGTAGAGGGCTCGCCTAGCATGCATGAAGTCCTGGATTGGATTCCTCATTACCACATACACAGAAAAAAAACGGAACTGGTGCTGTGGCTGTAGTGGTAGAGTACTAAACTTCAACACAAGAAGCTCAGGGACAGTACCTAGGCCCTGAGTTCAAGCCTAGGACTGGGAAAAAAAAAAAAAGGCAAGAATGTAATCAGATATGGAATGAGGACTTTCCTAGCAGCCAGGCTCTTGAGTTTAAACCTCAGGACACGTGCAAGCAGAATGCATTTTCTTGAGGATGGTTATACAGAACTGCTGCTGTTAAACTTTGCTGCTGCTGTGTTCACAATGTGTCCATGCTTTAGTCCATAAAATAACCTTTTAAAAAGAAAAGAATTACTGAGCAATTGATGGTTTCTATCCAGATGAATTTTATTTTATTTCTATCAAATTTTTCCTAACAGAAACTCTTTGTCCCCGGTGCTGTTCTCCACACCGTTAGAGTCCATGTAGATAAAATAGTAATGGCACATGTGGTGAAACCAGAGCCCAGCACAGGTTTTTATATTGCAAGATGTGGTTGCATAGGAATATTAAACATGACAAGCGCAATTTCAGAATCACGTTATGCTTCGTGAGGCAAAGACATTGAAGACTATATGGGGAAAATGTCCACAAATACCAGCCCCACCAGAAATAAATTCTATTTATTATTTGATATTTCTACCTTCATTGCATCCTGGATAGGGAATGTTTCTTCAGTGCTTCATTGGATGTAGTCACATTTTATCTTCAAGATGTTGTCCCATGGAAGTGTTTTCTCCATCTATCTGTTTTGGTGTCCATACTTTGTGTCCCTGTGTCTTGTGATTCAATGCTGCAATGAAGATATAAGTTCAGCTGGGTGCCTGTAATCCTAGCTACTCTGGAGGCTGAGATCTGAGGATCCCAGTTCAAAGCCAGCCTGTCTGTGAGACTCTTATCTCCAATTAATTACTCAAATATCTGTAAGTGCTGGGAAGGTGGCCCAGTGGTAGAGTGCTTGCCTTGTGTGCGTGAGGCCCTGGTTTGATTCCTGAGCATCATATAAGCAGAAAAAGTCAGAAGTGGTGCTGTGGCTCAAGTGGTAGAGTGCTCGCCTTGAGCTGAGGGACAGTGCCCAGACCCAGAGTTCAGGACCATGACCAACAAAAAAAAGAAATATCCATAAAGTGCAGTTGTGGCTCAGATGGTAGGGCAGTCGCCTTGAGCCAAAGAAGCTCAGGGACAGTTCCGATGCTCTTGAGTTCAAGCCCTTGGACTGAACCAGAAATGATATTAGTTCAGCTACTGTTGGGGCTCTCGTTTTTTTGTTTTGTTTTGTTTTGTTTTTTGCGTCCGGTCGTGGGGCCTGAACTCTGGGCCTGGGCGCTGTCCCTCAGCTCTTCAGCTCAAGGCTAGCGCTCTACCACTTGAGCCACAGCACCACT